TTACAATAATAATAGATAATAATGACAAACAATACAAACCGAAAATGACATAAACATTACAAACCGGGCTTATAAACATTACAAAGTAGGTTGACAAACATTACAAATCTACCACTGGCGTCGGAAAATTCTCATCATACATCTCCAGTCGCCGGAAAACTCCTCCTCCTCCATCACCAGAAAAACATCACTGAAAATTCTCTCTCTCTCACACACACACAAAACTAATGGGGTCATGGGGAATGCGGTCATGGGGTGGCCGCCGAAAACTCATCGCGGGTGAAATCCTTCACGCGGTGGCGACGAGGAATCCAGAACCGGCAACGGGACGCTAGGAATGCAGTGTACATCATTTCACTTCTTATCGGGTAAGTATAATAGTGTTGTCCATCTCGTGGCGAAAAATTCTTTCATCTTTGTAATTTTGACATGAAAAATCATTTTATTTTGTTGCATCTAAGTGTTTTCCTTTGCGATAACTATGAAGAAGAAAAAAAAATCATAACAAAATTAGACCACTTATTAGAGGATATTTCTTATTCCCTAAACATTAGTCTTTTCGGTCTGCCATATATGCTCTGTCTCTGTTGGTGCACGATAAACTATTATAATTTTAGTTAAATCCACATAAACAGAAAACTGTATTTGAAGTGGAGAGCCGATAGGGTGCTACTATCACCTTTTAGTATTAGCACGCTACCCTACTAATACTTACTATAAGAGTATATTAATAACTGTATCATTTTCCTTCCTACTTCCTCTTATCCTCCCACTCCCTCTTTTTCTCCGTTGTTTTCATTGGCTTTCACATAAAAAATTATAGTTTTGATTCTTGAAGTTAGAGGTTGTTTGGAGAATATGAGTTTAAATATATATTGTCAACAATCTAAAGATTCTAACTCTTCGGATTGTTGAAAATAGATTTTAAAATGTTAATTGTTCAGTAAGTGTGATTGTTAACATTCAATAAAATAAAAAATTTAATTTTATATTAAATAATATGTTTATCCTTAATAAAAAAATTAGAGTGGTTCGAGAAAATATTAAAAATTTTGTTGATAAATATATTTAATATGATAAATAAATAAAAGAAGGAGAAAACAATATCACGAAACAAGATATAAAATCTCTCTGATTATGAGAGATTTGATATCCATAGATTTTAGAGATTTGAAATAATGACATTAGCTCATATTAAAATACATTTACTCATGGATGCTAAAGAAAAACACGGCCGTGTCCATATTTAGGCACGACAAAACATGCCATTGTCTATTGTCCAAATCTTCGATTTGAGCGCTCCAAGTGTATGTTCCTTGCAATTGCCTGCTTAATATGTTTTGAATTGATAGTCTTTATAGTAATATGCAACCTAGGGAGGTAGTGTAGCACTATGGAGGATGTTGGTGCATTAAGAAGTCTGCTTTCTTCTTCATATTGTGTTGGTTGATCATGAGAATTAGTGATCTAAGGGCACTTGAATGGGGTGGTATTGTTGACTCTCTACCTGTGATGGACTCATATATCATGTTTTGAAAAAAGTGCTCTAAATTGTGCTTTTCAAAAAGAGTCCCCCGTGTGTAATTCAGTGAAAGTGTGTGTAAGGGGAGGCGAGAATTTGTTCCCAACTTCCACCTACTACCTCTAGCCCCTTACACCTCTTTTCCCCGCACGAGAATTGAGACATCTTCTCCTAGCATTGACCGTTAATAGCTTGGCTCCCTCAAAACCTGTGATAGGTGGGAGTCGTGTTTTTGGCAAAGATAAAATAAACAAACAAGAAAATGAAAGGAAAAAAGGGGGATTCCAACAATCTTCAATGAAAATAGAGTACCTAAAAAGTTGAGACATCTTATCCACGAATCACTTGTCATAAGACCACTACTTAGCATGATCCCGATTCGGGACTAGAGTTCCCACCGAAGAAGCTAGGAGGTGTCTTGTGCATTGGTTGACCTCGTAAGCTGCTAAATGACTTAGGACGCGCTCTACTGACTATCGGGGTTGCATGTTGTTGTAAAGGTCTGCAGAGTTGCCTTATTTTCATATTTCAGGTCTTGAGATATTACCTTATTTGCAATTAGTTTGCTTGTGGACAAGCAAACGCCCAAGTGTAGGGGAGTGATTCGAGTTCAATTGTACACAGTTTACCCTAATATTCTTTAGATGTTTGTGGCATTTTCACTCTATGAGGTTTTTGTTCAGGCTGCTGCTCTTCATGTTTGGCCATATTCCTAGAGCTCATCAATTTGCAGACTTTCTCACAAAGCCGCTACCCATTACTCGTTTCCAGCTTCTGTGTTCCAAGATTGACGTCATCCCCGCCACCGTCTTACTGGGAGCATGATAAGATAGTACTTTAATTTAAATTAAGGCAAAATTCATCTGTTTAGCCAAAACATTCACGTTTGTGACAATAATAGCCACTTTTGGTGAATGGCCAAATATAGCCAGAATTTTGAAAGTTTCACGACAAATATAGCCATTTCTGTTACATATTTTAACAACGTCAGTAACACCGTTAGTCAAATTAACCGAACGCTTACCTGACTTCCAACTCACCGGACACATCATCGACAACTCAACAATACTTGCCATTTCATATTTTAATATAAAAATAAATAAAAAATGACAATTTTTTTTCATCCTCTCTCCTCTCCCACCACTCGCCGCCGTAGAACTCTTTCTTCTCCCTCTCCTCCTCTCCTTCCACCACCGACACCAACCCCAAACCCATAACCTCTCCCCCCACTCCGACAGTGCTCCAGATCCAACCCACCACCGACCCCGCCGACACCGCTCTGTCAACATATTGACCCTAAGATCTCCCTCTGGCTCATGGCAACCGACAGCTAAACCCATCCATGGTGATCGGACACAAAGTGCAGGGCAACCCGAGAAAAGGTAAAACCAGAGAGAGGAAATCAGCCGAAGCGGTGTGTCCGAGGAACCGAGCAACGGCAGCAGGAGCGATCCGAAGAACAACAAGAGTGGAGGTAGCAGCAGTGGAAATCCTCCCAAATCCACCAAGGTCCGAAATCTCCACTCGATTTTTATTTTATTTTGCAAAGCTTCAAAACCGACGAGAATTGAAATCGCAGATCTACGACCGGAGAAGAGAGGGTGCTGCGCAATGCGACGAACACGAAGAAGAGAGGGGGATGGGGGGCGACTGGGAGATGCAACGGTCGATTGGCGATGGATTGAGATCTGGAGCGGGCGACGGTGATGATTGACGATGGTGATGGCGACGGGTATCCAGCGGTCGATTGAGCAAATAGGAGATTGGAATTTAGATCTGTATTGATGGAGATAACTGATTAGAAATTATGGGGATGTGGGGTTTCAAGCTTTGATGGATTTGGGGTTTCAAAGTTTTGACATGGCTGTTAGATGAAGTGGTTTCTAGGTTTCAATTGAGGAGACTATGGTGGGAATGGGTCTGTGAAAGAGAACTTGGGCATAGATGGAGGAGATGAGGTGGAAAAAGAGATTTTTTTTATCGATGAGGTTGAAACAGAGACGGAGTTGGGTTTAGGGGGATGTGGGGTTTGGGCAATTTTTCTTTTTAATTTTTTATTAATCTATGTGGCAACGTTGTTTAAAAGTGCCACCAACTCAGAATGTCGTTAGTCTAGTAAGCCATTTGGTTAAGACCGTCAAAGAATTGAACGGAAGTGGCTATTTTTGGTTTTTAGCCAAAAGTGGCTATATTTGGCCAAATCATCAAAGTTTTGACTACACAGGTGTATTTTGCCTTGTATTTAGTTACTGGTTAGGTTATTCCTTATTTGTAGGCTACATGGGTTCTCTTTTCTGTTTTAGAATGGGTATTCAATCCCATCACTCTGTCTAATAACATTCACGATTCCTAGGGGAGCGGTTATGGTGACTACTACTTTTGTAGTAATCACCGTGGTTACTAAGGGTAAATTGGGTATGAAAAATAAATTATATTAATTAATTTTTTTAATAAATTATATTTTAGGCAGTTACAAAAATCTATTAATTACAATTATCTCTCTTTCTCTCACTTTCGTAATCTCCAACCAGATCTTCTTTTCATATTTTTCTCAATCTTTCTGCAAAAGAAAAAATACGAAATCACTACCAATCCATTAGACAACCACTACCACTTTGAAAAACATCAATACCATTGCATAAATAAATCTATACGATTACACGAAAACTACCAATATAAAGAATCTATACCATTACAAAAGTCAAACAAATACCAAAACAACCAATACCACTACTACTGTGAAATCATAACGATACAATTGCACACTAAAGTAGTACCATTAAACTAAACTACCAATACAAACAATCTATACCATTACAAGAATCAACCAATACCAAAATCAATCAATATCACTACTATTCTGAAATCAGAACAATACCATTGCATAAATAAATCAATAATATTATGAAAAACAAACTATACCATTTCATAAAACAAAACAATGAACTAATACCAAAACAAAAAAATTACAAGATCTAGATTTTTATGTATACGATGGTTGTATTTGTATATATCCCTTAGGGCCACTGGGACATGTATACCCGCCAAAATCATATATGGGTATATTGTGATGCTAGAGAGAAAGAAAGAGAGCAGCGGGAGAGAGAGGGAAGCTGAGAGATAGAGAGAGCATCGGGAGGGTACCGACAAGGAGGGGAGGTAGGCCGCTGCGGTAGCCGTGGCCGGCACGGACTCATTTTTGAGGTTAGTGTAGGCGGCCGGCGGGATTAGTGTGACGAGAGTGGTGGAGGCAGCTGTGGCGGGTTTCGCTGGAGGGAGGATAGAATTAGGGTTTGGATAGATTATATAGAATAATCGGGTGTGGTCACTTTTTTATTTCCAAAATTACCCTAAAAAATCTTGACCATAAAATTAAAAAAAAGGAAAAATATGAAATCTAATGGTATATAAAGGGATTGTCATGGTGATTACTAAAAAACAAGTAATCACCTGACCAATTCCCAATTCCTAGCCTGGCCTTAACAACAAGTGCGTAGGTTTCTGAGCTTCCTTTCATTTATTCTGCTCCCCCACTTTCGCGCTCTTATATTACCAAAAAGTGTGAAAAAAATCATTTGCCAAACGCTGGGAGATCCACCGTGTCCCAATCTCATTGGTCGACAAGCGTTACAGTCTCTATTCCTTCTCAGTCAATATAATATATAATAACATGCCGAGTGCCTACACAAAAATCCTCCCCACAACTAAATCTCTCTCTGTATCTGTCTATCTTCTTTTCCTTTCCATTTCAGGCAAAACACAATGAAGGGCTCTCACTCCCACTTGCCGGCTCCTTCAGTACCACTCCCGCCCGCCGCCCAAAGGTCTCCTTCCCTTGTTTAATCTCTTCCCTCAGTTCATCTCAGTTCTTATATATTTTGCTTTACATTTGTTTCCCTTCACGACAGGCTGGCTGGCAAAGTTGCCATAATCACCGGAGGCGCCAGCGGGATCGGCGAAAGCACGGCCAGGCTCTTTATCCGCCATGGTGCCAAAGTCGTCATCGCCGACATCCAAGATGACTTGGGCCAATCCCTCTGCCGCCAGCTCGGCACCAAAGATGTCGTTTCCTACGTTCACTGTGACGTCACCAACGACGCCCATGTCCGCGACGCCGTGGACCTCGCCGTCTCCCGGTACGGGAAGCTGGACATCATGTACAACAACGCCGGAATCGCCGGGCGCGTGGACTCCGCCATCCAGCTCGAGTCCAATGACAACTTCAAGCGCGTCATGGAGGTCAATGTGTACGGCGGGTACTGTATCTTTACTAAACCACGATTAAATTCTCATGTAAAACACACATAAATATTGTTTGTAAAATCGTATTATACTAGTCGTTCGATTCGAAATATTTTTCTATTACAAAAACGATTTGAAAGTATGAAATTATTGAATCATGTTTAAACTATAATTTCAAGAACGAATACATCATAACGAACTTAAAACCTTCCGAGTACGGTTTCACAATCCTTGCATAATAACGTAAAGATGTTACTGTTAGGTACCTGGGCGCGAAGCACGCGGCGAGGGTGATGGTGGCGGCGGGGAGGGGCGGGGTGATCCTGTTCACGGGGAGCATAGCGTCCGTAACGTGCGGGGAATCGCCGCACGCGTACACGGTGTCGAAGCATGCGGTGGTGGGGCTGATGAGGAACCTGTGCGTGGAGCTCGGGGAGCACGGGGTGCGCGTGAACTGCATCTCCCCCTGCGCGCTGGCGACGCCGCTGCTGAGTGAGGCGATGGGCTCGGCGGGCAAGGCCGTGGTGGAGGAAGTGATCTGCGCGTCGGCGACCCTGAAAGGGGTGGTACCGGTTCCGTCCGACGTGGCGGCGGCGGCGGTGTACCTGGGGAGTGACGAGGCGAGGTTCGTGAGTGGGGTCAACTTGATGGTGGATGGAGGGTACACGACGACCAACCAAGCGTTTAAAATTGCTCTGGGGAACCTGTTGGGTGCGTAAATTAGCTTCGCATAGCCTAGCGAGCTAATGACGATGATGCTACATTTCCCTGAATTTCCACTGGTTGTTTTTGAAGCACGTGTGTTTAATTATGTTGCCAAAATGTTATTTCAAATTATGCGGCTTGAAATTTGTACGACTTCACTGGTTTACTGTTGGAAGATGTACTGCTTGTTTGTACTTGTGTTGAATTTACGATTAATGGTACTTTGGCCATTGAACTATTGAATTTTTCTTCTACTCTAGGATGCTGAACTAAATTTTTCGTGGGGGGTATTGATTACACCATTTACATACGTGATGCGATTTAATTTTTACAGTTCTTTTATGGCTATGTCACTATGAGATTGAAGACTTGAAAATATAAGAGTTTCGGGCTAAGAAGAGAACATATATCTCTATCGGAAACCATAGGATATCTATGATCTTATCGAAAAAGTTAATTTTACCATAATCGAATTAGTGTGAACTGTAAACTATGAACTGATATAATGAGCTGTTCACATTTAATTAATTTAACTCGTGATAGATCATTGAAAAACTGTCAATGAACCGGTAATCCACAACAGTCTTTCTTTTTCAATAGAAACTCGAAAAACCTTCTTTACGTCCTTTGGGAACCTTAATTTCCGAGCTTTCAAACTACAACCTCTTCCTAGGCCACTATATATGGTCTTGGCTGTCTGATTTTCCTTTTGATGATGTTTTCCAATTGGAAAACTGAGACATGTGTGGTGGATCTCAAACTTTTCTATGGAATATTAAGAAAAGGGCGAAATTGGGCTGCTGTGTGGGTTGCAGCCCAACACTGCTACCCAGCCACATGGCCTCATTTCATTGGTTTAATTATGTTAATTTATTGTTAGATGTTAATTAGATTTGGACGGTACGGAGAGGAATTTAACGGCTTTGGTTTTGGACGGGACATGGGACGGAGAAACAGGAAGACGGGAACTTAGTGTTGGCTTATCGTTTGTGTTATTCAGGCTATTTTATGATGGCTATGTCAAACTGATCATGCTCATACGTGGGTTTCCTCCATTAGGTTACAGTGAAGAGGAACACATATATGGCTATGTCAAGTTTTTTAAATTATTAGATTAATAACATTTCATATCCCTCCATATAGCAAATGAAAAAATGTATCACTCTACTAAAATTTTATACAAACATACTCTTCTAATATTGAAAAGTAGCGAGTTTACTCTTCCATCTAATTACATGTTATGTAGCCGTTAAAGGAGTTGTGAAGTGACCCAATTTCTCTTCCTTTACTCCCAAACACTCCCAGTTTTAATTATTTTATCATGTCGCAAATCAATTAATTAAAAAATCAAACCCCTAAATGAATTCACATGCACTCAATCGTATCTCCTCTGAAGTCTCCCCTGACGATCAGTCCCTCGACTCAACGGCAGCGCCTGCTCTCAGTGGATGGAGTAGAGAGAACCAGCCGATACGACGACCAGATGGACGGTCTCTCGTCTAGTGCTTCAGAATTAGTTTAGGGGTTTTATTTTTTTAATTGATTGATTTTATACATAATAAAATAATTAAAATAAAAATTAGGAGTGTATAGGAGTAAATGAGTGGAAATTGAGTCATTTACCATTATAGTGTTAATTTACCATAGTACAGGAATACAAAATCCTATTAATCCTAAAAAAACTATATCACAAATGTAAACAAAATATAAATAAAGAAACATAAATTGATATCACACTCACCCATAAGTTTTTACTGTACGTTTCTTTCAAAAAAAAAACATTTTTGGTAGTAGGTCTCTTTCAACTTCCATTAGCATTTAGCACCAAGTTAGCGTCTTTCCTTTAATATTAAAAAAAAAATTCCCACCTGTCTTTGGGGAAAAAAGTTCCCGTCCTTCCTGCTTCTCCGTTTTAAAACACCGTTAAATGAATGCATTTTCGTCCCGCCCAAATATACTTAACATAATTGAACCAATGAAATTAGGCCATGTGGATAAAGATAATTAATTGCTATTAATCTATTTGATTGGTCTTATTCCTTAATGTAAACTATTAAACAATGTACATATTTATATGACTATTCTCATATATAATCTTTTTCCTCTCAAATAAAGTAAGCTAATTCTAACACAACAAAGTAAACCATAACTTTCTCAACAAGACACAATAAACTAATACGAGTAACCATAATTATAACTGAATACTCTAATACGGATGACAATAATAATAATAGTAGTAATAAACTCTATGCTGCCTACGGTGCTATAATGCACCAACTCCACATATATATTCAGGACAATTAGCCTATTGTGCTTACAACGAAGTCAGTGAACACATGTTCACAGAGATTATGCTCTGTGACTGTGAGTCGTTTGATCAAGCATTGGGCGCTTTCTGACCCTTGAATGATGACAGTAGTATTTGCATAATGCCAGTGCCACCGAATGTCCGAATCCATTTAGCGTTTAGACCGCTCGATCGACGCCTGAGACGCCCCAACTTTGGTTGCCCTTGTGTCCTATGGGGTGTGGGAGCGTTGCAAAAATAAAGATCACATCACATGACTTGGCTTGGCACCGGATAAAAAAAATTGAAGAGTGCCATTTAATTCTGGATAGGTCTCCAAACCAGCAACGTGCGCATTTCTCTCTCCAAATTCAATTTCTTCATCAGAGCCGTATTTAATTTGAGGAACACTGGGGTCCTTCCTGAATCAAAATACCAATTTGTGGCGGGAAATAGCTCTGGGTTTGAAGCTGTGGTGGGCGCGCTGTTGGGCGTTGGCTGAAATGTCGCAACGTAACTAATTCTCTATCGCGCGCCAACTGCTCCTCTGACGCGCACTGGAATACCGCAACAAACATGAATGAAATTTGTACAATTCAAAAAACCCAATTCTCGTGGTGAGGTCGAGCATTTAGGTATATAGTTCCGTCACATCGCTCGATTAAATGCCCAGAGTACGGCCGGGTTAAATGGTGTTCATCTTCGCTCATAGACTTGGTCATCGAGTATTGAATTTGGTGATACTTGTCGCAGTTCAAGCTTAATTAGAATCAAACTCAACCTATCTTTACTTTGCTGTTAGGGTAACGTGACAATTTGGCAATTTCTAGGTTTACATAGTATTTAGGGTAGGGGTGACAATCGGTCGGTAACTGGTTTACCGGTTATCGACCTAACCGGTAAATGGTATGCCGAGCATGGGAGGGGGGAAATCGATTACCGTTACCGGTTACAAGGTTTTCTAACCTTGGGCCCTCGATGATTGGAGCATACGAGCTGTCGATCTCTTATTTCGTTAGATCCCACATTGTGTCGAAGTATTTACCCGAACAAATGGGAGGCAAGGTCCCTTCAAATTTGTTCATTGAGGAGACATGTCGTTTGATCGAATGAGGTTCGATTGAGTAGGACTGCTAATTCCATTCCTATCATAAACGACTAGGGTTTCGATCATTGCATCTCGAGGGAATGCAAGGTCGACTAAGCAATCATTCGAATCAAAAAATAATGAAAAGAGGAAAACATATGAAATAAATTAATAGTATTAAACTGTCAGAACAGAAGCGTGCAATCGATAATCCAAACCAACACGAACGAACACAAATTTAACATGGTTCACTAACACAATGTGTGCTCGCTAATCCACGTGCAGGGGGGACAAATTTCACTACTTTGAGGAGAGTACAGGTTACAAACCAAATTTCAAATGGACAAACCAAACAAACTAACCTGACTGACCTTACTACAGATTAGGGTGATGAAGAGTATTTATAGAACTCTTCTCCTAATCTCAAACAGAAAACCAAACACCTTTTCCCAAACCTACAAGGAAAAGGTCAAAACAAAGCCCAAACACAAACACAAACAAAATAGGCCTAAAACACAAAACAAACTCAAATCAAATTCAAGTCATATTCTAACAATCTCCACCTTAACTTGAATTCTCTCTCAAATACCAAATGTACCAGACGCAACCAAAGTTGCCAAATGTACCAGATGCAACCAAAGTTGCCAGATGTACCAGATGTGATCGAAATCACCAAACTCAAACGCGATGCAAATCACCTAACTCAGATGCAATCAAGATTGCCAGACATACCAAACTCCTCCAAATCAACTGTACCAGAATCTCCCCTGCCTCCAGATGCCCCTAAGGGCGGTCAACAAATCAAAATATGCAGCAAGTCCAACCCATGTTGGGACTTGCCATGCATAACCAAATTGGTGTTATCTCCATCGATAACACCAACATCATATTTACTTCCAACTCCAAACCTGCAACTCCAAATCGACTTCTCAATCTTCATACTGATAGCAACCAGTCTTGCTATCAAACAAACTCCAACCAAACTCCACAAAGCAAAACTTCAGTCTAGCGCCAAATTACCAAAACCGCAACCAAAGGCTCTGATACCACTTGTCAGAACGGAAGCGTGCAATCGATAATCCAAACCAACACGAACGAACACAAATTTAACATGGTTCACTAAAACAATGTGTGCTAGCTAATCCACGGGCAGGGGGGACAAATTTCACTACTTTGAGGAGAGTACAGGTTACAAACCAAATTCCAAATGGACAAACCAAACAAACTAACCTGAATGACCTTACTACAGATTAGGGTGATGAAGAGTATTTATAGAACTCTTCTCCTAATCCCAAACAAAAAACCAAACACCTTTTCCCAAACATACAAGGAAAAGGTCAAAACAAAGCCCAAACACAAACCCAAACAAAATAGGCCTAAAACACAAAACAAACCCAAATCAAATTCAAGTCATATTCTAACATAAACCAAACCATCGAGTTTACTAGAATAGAACCCCTTGGATTCGCATACCTACACAACTAAGAAACTGGCTAATCATTGGTAAGGTTTGCTCGCTGTTCAACATTGACGAAGCTTCTAGGAAACCACATAGATCGGCAGTTAGGACAGTAAAATCAGGCCCAAGGAAGCCGATTTTACCACGTAAGCGATGTCGCTCTAAGTCAGAAGGGTTGCTATGTCGGTAGAGTAACAATCCTTCCTTGACCTCTCGTCTCCTCCTCCTTTCTAGCTAGTTCTAGTTCTCTATTCATAGATTTCTTTTAGGCTTTTTAAAGAGGGAAATTCACCACTTTAGTGTCATTTGGCTAATGAGAGTGCTCCAAGCACATGGCCAGCAAATCATGAATTGTATAAAAGCAATCATAGGGTTGTTTGAACGCACTTAAAGCAATCACAACAGTAATTGAAATGTATTATGATGCTAATGATGGGAAATGTACGCACATTAATTATGTAACAAACTAGGAGTCTAAAGTAGATACTTTCATGTGTCATCACTAACCTTCGCTCAAATTCTACCAATCGTTGACAAGGAGTTAACTGTAATTCTTATTCC